AAAAACCTTTTACAGAGGCAAAGTCAGCCAACAGGTAGAAGATGTGACAACACTAAAAGATGGTGGAAAGGAAACTCAGGACTGTCTTTCTGCTGGATAAGGACAGGAACCTGGAGAGAAACCAGAGTACTGGTCATAGTGGTTGACAGAGAGGAAAGCAGAAGCAGCTCAGATTATATGGCATAATCTTTAAATTTCACTATAAAAACCAAAGTTTGGTGCATCTGAAGGGACAGCTATTTCCCAACACACTATAGATACACTAAGAAATACTACTGAAACATTCCCAGTTCATATACAAGTTTTCTCTGTTACCTCAAACTTGAAATCCTCTACAGTATTGATGAAACCCTGGCCTGGAAAACTGCAGACAGTTGCATACTGGTACATAATTATAGCCTCTTTGTGAGCACAAGGTCCTTCAAATCAAGAAGAGACAAAAAGGATGGTTTTGCCTCATTGTGTCATTTTACATTACAGGACCTGATAACATCTGGCAATCCCCCCCCCCAAAAAAAATAACTCCAAAACCCAGTTATACCAATATGGCCGTTTTTTAGATTGTTTACTAAATTTCCGAGTACATGACACACAACTAAGATTGACTCATTTTCCCAGCCAGCAGTTTATTTTCAGTTTATTTCCCCCTCCCCGGGAGGATTGTTTTATTTTGTACTGCTGATGAATTGCTTCATTCCATATCATTTCAGCCTGTGTGAATGTTGCTGTCGATTTATTTCCTTTGCAAAGGGCTCGGGTTTCTGGGTGCTGTGGTCATGTCATGACCATTGTGCTTATCTCCTTCTAAATAAATATATATCGATACATATATGACTTGTCGATAAAGATATACCAACAAGACAGTAATAGGATATGCTGGCAGCGGTGCTGCCACCGCTACCACAAACAGACAAAATGAATACATTGCTCAGGAGACACCTCCCTTGTAGGTGAAAGAGGGCTTCAGATTTCCTGCTTTGAACTATAAAGAAAGGAGTGTTGCATTTATTTAACCCTACTTTTCACAATACTTTGAAAGTCTTTCAAAACTCATTTCTCCTGATGCTGTTCAACAAAGACATACAGGGAAGGGGGAAGGGAAAGGAGGAGGAGGAAACAAGCCTCACCAAGAAATGTGCAGGGAAGATGGAAGGGAAAGGGGAAGGAGGAAAGAAGCCTCATATATTTCTCTGTTGATATACTAGCTTCAGTAATTTTTTGAAAGGTGGGATGGGGGGGCTGATTGTCCCAAGAAACAGTAGAGAAAAGGAATCAATACAAATTAAAGAACACTGTAGCCTGCTATAAAGATTCAAATAGAAAGAAATGAATTGATACTGTTAAAGCAATGTGAATGCTCTTGCCAGCATATATACCACGTGACTGTGAAAATAAATGTCATCACTACAATAGAGGTATAGAAAGGATCAGTATAACTGGCGTTCTTTTGGCAGGTGTTATTAGGTCCACAGACAACTGGAGGTTCCTGCAGTAAAGGGATTTAAATCAGACCTTTACTTTTAGAGCCAGGTCAAAAGCTATGCAACAATTAAATTCTTATATGACCAAAGGTCTCTCATTAAGAAAATAATTCTTAATGAGGACACAGCCAGGCAATTTAATTGGTATCTCACTCATTTCAGATGTAAATGTTCAAAAATCAAAGACCAAAGATTTGTTCTTCATCTTGTGAATTCTGATTTCTCTTAAATGCTGCTAGGTGCACACATATATTTGAAAAATTCTTCAGTATTATCACACTAAAAACTTACTTTAATTTGAGGCCTGTCTTTCTTTATAAGCAGTTACAAATCTCTCACTCTCAGATATATCTGAATATCAGATAAATGATATGTGAATAAGGCATAACCAAATAACTAAATAGCTGGCTGGACCACATAATGGTTTAGGTATCTGTCTGAAGAGCTAGGGGTTGGGAGTTCAATTCCCTACAGTTTCTCCTGCGAGTAGAGCCAGCCTGTGTGGCCTTGGGCAAGCTGCACAGTCCCAGGGAGCCCTCAGAAGAAGGGAATGATAAATGATGTCTGAGCATTCTCTACCTAGTAACCTTGAACAGGGTCGCCATTAGTCAGAATTGACTTGACAACACATGATAGTTAAATAACTAAATATATTGGACCGCTATATGCCCCCTTGTTTGAAATAAATCATTGTGCAACCCATTTTGAAAATATCTAACTTGGCAACAGATTACTTGAACAACTATAGACCTGTTACCAATATTATATTTATGGCCAAGGTGTTAGCGGACCACTGCAGATGTTCCTGGAGGAGAGGGTTTCGACCATGCCAAAGAACCCAATCGGTACTGGTTGCACTGAATGATGACCTTTTAAGGGACGTTAAACAGGGCTGGCTTTGACCCTGTTGGTCCTCCTTGATCTCTCAGTGGCCTTTGATACTGCTGATCACAGTATCCCCCAAGACAGGCTGTTGGGATTAAGTATCAGAGGTCCAGCACTCCACTAGTTCTAGTTCTTCTTGGGTGGCTGGAAGCTGTTTTGGCCCTGGGGGTCCTATGTTAATTTTCTCTACAGTGATGTTCAACATCTACATGAAGCTGCTGGGAGAGGTAATCCAGAGTTTTGGGATGTTTTATTAACAGTATACTCATGACACACAGCTCTATCTCCCCATCATGTCTTCTTCAGTGGATACTGCTTGTGTTCTTGAGTGCTGCCTGGCAGTGATTTTGGAGTGGACAAAGGTCAACAGGCTGAATCTGAATCCAGACAAAATGGAGATCCTCTTGTTAGAGATCACCCTAACCAGTTGGGAGGAATTATACCTAGGCTGAATGGTGTTGCTCTCCATATTAAGAGACAGAGTGCACAGCTTAGGAGTGACCCTAGACCCAGCCCTTTGAATGGAACATCAAATATCAGCCAAAGATCAGTCTGCCTCTGAACACTTCCAGCAAATTGCTCAGTTGCGCCCCTTCCTGGACAGGAGGTCACCGCCAATGTAGGTCCACATGGTGACAGTCTTTAGGATCAACTACTGCAATGTCCCCTATGTGGGGCTTCCCTTGAAACTGATCCAAAGGTTACAGCATGTACAGAATACGGCAGCCAGGTTGATCAGTGAAACAAGGAAATTTCACCATATTTCCCCAGTCCCAGCCCACCTGCATTGGTTTCCTGTCACTTCCTAGGTTCAAGGTGTTAGTTTTAACGTATAAAGCCCTTAACGATTTGGGACCTCATCACCTGTTGAAATGTCTCTCCCACAGAACTGCTGCCCCTTTTATCAAATCTCCCAGGCCTCGCTGTTGTGGATGGCCACGCTGAGAGAGGCAAGGATGACCTTCACTAGGAATCGCCCCTTCTCAGTGGTAGCCCTGGTGCTTTGGAATTGCCTCCTTTTGGAGAGCCAGCAGTCCTCCTTCCTCCAGACTCTTAAAAAACTGCTCAAAACTGAACTTTTAAAGGAAGTCTTTAAGGACATTCTCCCCCTTGGTTAGTTTGGTCTGTGACCCATGTGCCACCTTTACCACTAAGGATTGTTTTAGTTTTGTAGTTTGATTATTTATTTCTTTGCATTTTAATGGTTTGCTGGTTGGTTTTGTTATGTTATGATGCAATCAATCAATCAATGAATCAATGTAGACACGCCTAGAGTGGTCGCAATGACCAGATAGGTGGGGTTTAAATAGAATAAACAAACAAACAAACAAACAAATAAATGTAAGCATAAATATAAATAAATTATTATAAATATGCCACAGATAGAACTACTATATTGTAATACTTTACAGTGCAACCTATTTACACATTGTGCTGTCAGACACTGATGACTGAATAATCTGGTGAAGATGATGTGTACTTCTAAGTACAGTGGTGCCTCGCATAGCGATCACTCCATTTAGCGATGAAATCGCTTTGCGACACATTTTTTGCGATCACAAAAGCGATCGCTTTGCGATGTTCCCTATGGGGGAATTGCCCTTTGCGATGCTCGGTTCCCTGCTTCGGGAACCGAGCACCGCAAAGCGATGATTTTTAAACAGCTGATCGGCGGTTTCAAAATGGCCACCGGGTAAACAAAATGGCCGCCCGCTGTGTTTAGGGACGGATTCCTCGCTTAAGAGGCAGCGAAAATGGCCGCGCTATGGAGGATCTTCGCTGAACGGTGAGTTTTAAGCCCATAGGAACGCACTGAAGGGGTTTCAATGTGTTTCTATGGGCTTTTTAATATCGCATAGTGACGTTTTTGTTCTGCAGCGATTTTTGCGGAACGAATTAACGTTGCAATGCGAGGCACCACTGGTATCTCATGTGTTCAATAAGATGTGGCTGAGGTAATTCCCCTACTGCTATCTCTAAAAAGATGGGGATACAGTATATGGAAAGGAAATAGAGAAGAACAACAAAAAGAATATTCAGGAACACATTTTGTTTATTAAAGATTGCAAATGAGATTAATCATCATGATAGACTGAGTAATGCACATTGATGTATAAAGTAGTACCATTTATTTATATTAATTTGTAGCTACTGATGCTATGCAACCCTATTTGAAGACAATTTTAGATTATGAAATGTCGCTTTCACCCACAAATTAGCTAATGCACTTTAATTACCAGCCACTACCAAGTAAAGTGATATTTCCAAACATGAAAATACATATTTTATGGTGGCTTTCACAGAAACTAGCTTATTTTACATTCTTTGTTTTCTTTTCCATGTCTACTGTCAGAGCAAGATAACGGTATACTTACTTTCCAAAGAGAGATGATTGATTTCTCATTCTCAATTCCGTCACTATGTTTTGTTCATCACAACTCAACTCTCTAATTGAGTTGCATTCATCATGCAGTATCCTTTTCTGTTTTGCAGCAGCAGCACCGCAAAGCCAAAAATATATATTTAAATTATGACAGCATCTCAGTCATCATTACAGATCTAGCGCAATTTGGGGAGACAGGGTAATAAAAGAGAGAAGTGTAAAGCACAAACCTGAAGAAACAAGTCACTTACTTTGGAAAGATGGCAGTCATGATGGCAGATGCATACCCAGGTTTGCAAACTCCCTCTGAGATGTTAGCATACTTTGAAGCTAATTCTGAAGGCCTGTGGAGAAACAATAATCATGAAGATGGCTCTAGGAAAGAAGTACTGTACAAGCTGTGCCAATTTAATCTGTTTATTATACATTTTCTCAAATGGTTCACAACAGCAACAACAACAAAATAAATGCAAAATAATGATGGGATAGATTCTAGCAGTCCTAAGGGAATGTAATACCTAACATACTATTGTGCCTTTACAGAACTCTAGACATCAAGAATTTTCCAGTTTATGGAAGAAGGTAGCAAGAAGGAGCTATTTCTCTGGCTACTCTTCTGCTGCATGAGTAAGAATTTGTACAATTACTATTTGTAGAGCCACATTAGCCAAGTTACCACAAATTTCTATCAGTCTGTGTGAAAATGGAAGCAGTTGACATTTCTATATCACAGTCCTAACATTGCTTCCTTCATTCTCTTTTCAATAGCTGGGCCTCTCTCACAATCAATGGGTATGTGAAAAGACTGAATCTACAAAGCTTTTCCATTCTAAGAAAAGACATTACAGTTGCTGAAATAAAGCTTTGGAAGCTTGAAGAGAAGGAACTATTTTTTTAGCAGCCATTTACTGTATGACTCAAGCTAACTGCTTGGGCTTTTGCTTTGTTTTGATGCCCCATCTCATCACCAACTGCTTCGACCTAACATACATCAAGGGTTATGCTGCACAGACTTCAAAGGGAAAGTATTATTAGGATATAATTGCTTATAAAATAATGGCAGTTAGTGCAGGGGACACTGATGCAGCCTTTTTATTGATCTCCCCCCAAAACGCAGCATAATACTATATTTCTAACATGTTACATATTTACATTTGTAAAATGGCCATTTCTTTACCAAAATATACCTTTAAATAACATGTTTTTTTAAGTAAGTTCACTGACCCCATGTAATCCACATAACCACCATCACATAACACATAAACAAAGCATTTTGAAATCTTACAAGCTGTAGGGAAGCAACATAGTCTTTCAAGAGCATAGTTACTATGGCAATTGTACATCTGTTCCAGTAAGCTCCCGTCCATACCTGCATAAATATTTGAACCACCGTTTTTAACACAAATGAAGATCAGCTGAGTAATCATGGCAAAACATATTTCAAAATACACTGCAAGGCCTGAGTGGAAACTGGACTATTTGGAACATAAACTACTTTCTGAAAAAGTCTCTCCAAAATCCAAAATCTTAGCAGAATTTATTTATTCACTGCCAAAATTCTCATAGTTCTCAGCAGTTCAAATTGGCATATCTGCACAGTGAAAGGAACTGAAGTTGCAAATTAAAAGAAATAACATGTTTTTGCCACATTAATATAAAATGCCTTTCCCATTCCACACTACGTTTTATGTTTTACACATCACAACCATCAGCACAAAACAAAACAAAAAACTCCCACTAATTTCAGGACCAGGAAAAGGTCTGTTACTCACCCAAATGTGCTACAGGGAAAAGTGAATAGTTTCCTTCCAGCATTGGGGCCCACACTAGGAAGTGGCATACAGTCATGGCTAAAAATATTGGCACCCTTGCAATTCTGTCAGAAAATGCAGCCCTTCTCTCAGAAAATGGTTGCAGTTGCACATGTTTTGGTACTCACATGTTCATTTCTTTGGATTGCGTTGGAACAACACAAAAAACCGGACAAGAAAAGTCAAATCTGATACAATCCCACACAGAAACCCAAATATCCACTGGCCAAAATTATTGGCATCCTATCTAAATTGTAAGAAATAATTGCTTTTCAAGCATGTGATGCTCCTTTAATTTGTATGTAGACACACCTATCGCAAGTAAGAGGTGTGGGCAATAGAGTAATCACACTTGCAACCAGTTAAGATGGAGAAAAGTTGACTCAACCTGGACATGGAGAAAAGAATAAAGTGTAAAGAGTTGTCGTGGATTTGAGAGAAAAAAATGTGGAAAAACATCAACAATATCAAGGCTACAAGTCCATCTCCAGAGATCTTAATGTTCCTGAGCCCATTGTGCGCAATATCATCAAGAGGTTTACAGCCCATGGCACTGCAGCTGACCTCCCTGGACGTGGACAGAAGAGCAAAATAACTGAAAAATTACAACAAAGGGTTGTTCGAATGGTGGATACAGAACCCAGATTAACTTCCAAACAAATTCAAGCTGATCTGCAGACACAGGGTACAATAGTGTCAGCTCGCACTGACAGATGAGACAAAACTAGAGCTTTTTGGTAAAGGATATCATGGTACTGTTTACAGAAAACCAAATGAGACATTAAAAGAAAAGAGCACGGTCCCTACAGTCAAACATGGTGGAGATTCAAAATGTTTTGGGGTTGCTCTGCTGCTTCTGGCACTGGATGCCTTGACTGTGTGAATGGTATCATGAAATCTGATGATTACCAAAGAATTTTGGGGCTCAGCATAATGGCTGCTGTCAGAAAGCTGCATCTCCACTAGAGGTCATGTTCTGAAATGGCCAACAACGAATCCGGATCTGAATCCCATAGAACACCTGTGGGGAGATCTCAAAACAGGAGTAGGGAGAAGGCATCCTTCAAATCTGAAGGCACTGGAGAAGTTTGCAAAAGAAGCGAGGTCCAAAATTCCAGTAGAGTGGTGTAACAAACTCATTCATGGTTACAGGAAGCTATTGATGTCATTTTTTCCCCAAAGGGGAAAAGGGGTGAGCTACCAAATATTAAGTTAAGGGTACCAATAATTCTGGCCAGCCCATTTTTGGGTTTCTGCGTGAGATTGTATCAGATTTGACTTGTGTGTGTGTGTGTGTGTGTGTGTGTGTGTGTGTGTTGTTCCAATGCAAACCAAAGAAATGAACATGTGATACCAAACATTTGCAGCTGCAACCATTTTCTGAGCGAAGGGTTGCATTTTCTGACAGAATTGCAAGGGTGCCAATATTTTTGGCCATGACTGTAGGTTGTATAGCTCTGTACTTTACATATACTGTATTCTGAAAGACTGCCAGAGGGCAGGGGGCATCACAGTACAACGAAAATTATGACATTGGCAAATATAGAAAACCTGGTCTTGTGGAAATAGAATCAAATTCTGCTAGTGAAAAGCTACCACTACATACAATTATCCAATTATTCACTGTTTAAAACCACAGAACTAGGAATTGCCTTTTTCAAAAAGGAGCTAAATCGCACAATGAATAAAAACCACACATCCTTCTGTTGTCTGTAGAGACAGTCTAAACTTCTATAAAATATCCACCACAATACATAACTAACTCTTTCCCCACCACTTTAAATTACCAAATTAGAAATGTCGGAATGTCTTCTGTACATATCCAAGGAAAGTTTACATCCTCAAAGAACTAGTTCCTTTGGCTAGTGCCATACTAATAATGTATGAGGTGTCCATCACGAAGGCAGAATTATATTCACGCTCACTGGCGTCAAAGACAAACTTGTTCAACTTTTCAAACGCAACAGAGGTTCATGTTCCAAAATGCCACAGGCAAAACTACCCAACCACAGTTGGCTTCTCCAGTTGCTCAGCACTGCCTCATTACATCCATTCTGACCATCCACTTGGACAGTCCTTTATAGTTTCCCAACACATTTTATTCTCTAATACTCGGGGCATTTTATTACTCTGGGTCTGTTAAATGATATAGATTTCAGTCTTTATTAAACTGCCATGATGACATTCCCAGCCATCTTAAATAAGAGCATAAAACTAATAACGTAAATGCCAGCAAAGAAAAGGCATAAGGAAAAAAAAGGATTGCTCCTTCTTGTTAAAAGTTAATCAGTATGTATCTTCAGGTGCTAATCAGGAGAACTTCAAATATTATATTTTAAAAAGAATTTTGTTGCATTCCTAATTTCACCTCAGATCCCAGGATACCATTATCATGGCCAAAAACGGAATTGGTTGCAGGAATTAGGTTACTTCTAACTTGTCATAACTAACCTCTACTAAACAGTATATTAAATATAATGTATTCCAGACAGATACTTTCAGAGCCAAAATCTGTTTGTGATTGAAAACCCATGAACAGCAACAGAGCTGCTGAAACCAACATCTATGGAACGCTTCAATAAGATATTTCAACAATTTTTTCTCAGCTCCTCCATTATGTGTCACTGACATACCGTACGTTTCCTTGTATACAACCCCCCAATGCATAAGATGACCCCCTAATTTTTATCCTTGCTGGAGCAGCAGTCAATGGGCAGCAGCAAGGGGCGACCCAGTGTGGCTGCTCTTCTGCCTCCATCTCCTGCTGCTACTGCCTCCGCCACCCAATCACCTCCTCCAGTGCGACTGCCGGGGCTTACCTCCAGCTCACGTCACCACCTTGTCCTCTACTGAAGGAGACAATTGCTGGAGGAGGTGTTCTGACAGCAGCAGCAGCAGCCAATGGGCAGCAGCAGGAGGCAGCTGAGCGCGGCTGCTCCTATGTCTCAGTCTCTGCGTTCTCCTGCTGCTGCAGTCTCCTCCGGTGCCACTCGCGGGCTCAGCAGCAACAGCAGGAGGTGGAGACTGAGGCAAAGAAGCAGCCGCACTTGGCCGCCAGATCGCCTCCTCCAATGATCATCTCCTTCGGGCAGAGGACAAGGCGGCGGCATGAGCTGGAGGTAAGCCCCAGCTGTGCCAGTGGAGGGGGTGATCGGACGGTGGAGACAACAGTCAATGGGCAGCCACAAAAGGCGGCTCAGCACGGCTGCTCTTCCACCTCCTGCTGCCGCCTTCCATGTATAAAATGATCCTCAATTTTTCCTCTGATTATTTTAGGGGAAAGCTTGATTTTATACACGGAAAAATACAGTAACAAGCTATATGCAGTCAAAATCACAGTGGATCCTCATGGAATATTGAACAAAATTAAGGGAAACAGAAAGGTACTGAACAAGGAAGTTGGATCCTTTCACATGTTTCTAGTCCTCTGAAAGGGTTTGCAAGACAAGTCAAAGACATTCAATGTATAAGCTGAAGAACAAGATGGTATCCCAATCCTTTAGATATACAGAAGACATATGTACAGTGGTGCC